AGGTTGAACCACATCCTGCACTTTCTCTTTGTCTCGAAGAATTTCTTGAGGTGTGTCGTGTGGTCGCTCTCTGTGTCAGATTTGACGATCATGTTGTCTATGTAGACCTCAAGCATATCGCCTATCTCACCTCGGAAGACTTTGTTCATCATCCATTGGTAGGTGGCGCCAGCGTTCTTTAGGCCGAAAGACATTACATTGTAGTAGTAGTTTCCCAACTCGGTCATGAACGCCGTGCTCTGTTTTTTAACCTCAGCCATGGGGATCTGGTTGTACCCAGAGTAGGCGTCCATGAAAGACAACAATTTGAAACCCGCAGAGTTGTTGACGAGCTTGTCGATGTTGGGGAGGGGATAAGCGTCCTTTGGACATGCCCCATTTAGATCAATGTAATCAATGCATATCCTCCATTTTCCATTAGATTTATTTACGAGTACAATGTTGGACATCCAGGTTGAATACCGGGATTTCAAAATAAATTTTGCCTCTAAGAGGTCTTTTACAGCTTTTTCATCCGCCGCCGATTTTTCGGGGGACTGTATACGTCTACGTTGTACTATGGCCTTTGCGGCCGGGTTGGTGGAGAGTTGGTGGCAGGTGACCTCAAGGTCGAGTCCAGGCATCTCGGTGGCACTCCAGGCGAAGAGGTAGGCGTTCTTGTGGAGGCAGGCCTTCAACTGCTTCCTCGCCAAATCGGGCAGTCCCGCTCCAATTTTCACGATCCTCGTCGCGTCTGTGTCGAGGTTACTATCTCGAAGTCCCCGTCTGGAATGGGGCGCGTTGGGTGGATAGGATGCCTGTTATCTATTGGGGAGCGTCTTCGACTTTGTCTTTGTGATCTGGTTCGCCGGGGAAGCGGCAATCGAGGTCTACATTGTCGACATGGTCCTTGGGTATGTTCTCCTGGACGGGTGGAGGCTTGGTCGCTTTGGTCGGGGGACCGGTCGTGCTGAGGCCCTTCATCACTGCTTTGAAAAATCGTCAGGCAGCTTTTATGTCCCTGTTGAGGGTGACGACGGCTCCCAGCCTGGTATAGTACTTCACTTTTAGGTAGACAATTAAAGGCACCGCGGTTAGTTCGGCCAGCATTGTCCTGTCTAGGATGCAGTTGTACAGGGATGGGCATTCGACGACCAGAAAGCGGACGCTGATTTCCCTTGTCGTTTCCTGCACCCCAAAGGTGACCTTAAACTCCACGTATCCCCATGGTCTTGTCGTCGTCCCGTTGAGGCCCTGGAGGTCGGGGCCCAGGTAGGGAGTTAAGTTGGTCTCGTCGAGCTGTAACGTCGAGAAGAGGTGGGTATACATGATATCCACCGAGCTTCCTCCGTCGACCAGGATGCGACAGACGTCGAAATTGGCCATTTGTGCCCATATCAGTAGGGGATGGCCGATTTAGGGGCTCCCCTAGGGATCTCTTCGAGATAGTATGTGATCGAGTTGGATCGGCTGTGGAATTTCTTGAGCATGCTCATTTTGCTGGAGCTGTTGTTCATCAGCTCATCGAATTTCCTTTTTACCGACCAGATTGAGAGTTTGCTTAGGGCTCCGCCTGAGAAAGTATTTCCATGGGCTGACAGGGCGGACTAGCTCTTTGGGCAGCTGATGCTCGGTAGGGAGGCCGTGTTCTCTTAGTGAAAACCAATCCTCCGACCAACTAACAGTGAGGGACACTTGTAGGCTGGATTCATTGTCGGGAGGGGGATGTCCTCGATCCTTTTGGCATTTGGGGCCTCCTGCCGGGGGGCCACTCCTCCCCTGGTGTATCTCTTTAGGTGCCCATGTTTGATGAGTATTTCGATTGTGTCCTTCAGATGGTTGCAATCCTCCATCACATGCCCATGACCCCGGTGGAAGCGGCAGTATTTGGATTTATCCATGTTGGCTTTGGGGGGTGCCGGTTTGGGAAAGCAGACACCTCCCCGAACAAACTCCAAGTTGGCACACTCGGCCAGTATATGCTCGTGGGAAGCGACCAGGTCAGTGTATTTGGTGAAGCGGTCTGCTGGGCCCCTCTGCTCCCAGGGCTCTCTAGGACGGTTGTCCCTTCCCCGGTCTCCCCCATGCTGGGGGGCTGACGCTCCTTCTTTGCAGGACCCGCGAGGGGTTTCGCAGTTGTGGGACTCTCGGGCAGCATTGGAGGCCTCAGTTTCCTCGTACCGGATGTAATGGCGGGTTTTCTCGAGGAAGCCTTGTAGGGTGTTCGGTTGGTGGATTGCCACAGCCTTGTAGAATTTGGAGCCGTGGCGTAGGCCTTGCTCAAGATAGCGCTGCATATCATCGGAAGTCGTTACCTGGACCGCCTCCCTCGTGAACCTTTTAATGTAGTTTCTGAGAGGCTCATCCGGGGCCTGGATGATTGCGCCCAGGGCGGCCCCTGTCTTCAAGTACCGTCGCGACGTCGTGAAATGCTGTGAAAACAGGTCCTTCAAAACCCTCCAAGACGCGACGGACTCCGGTTCCAGGCTTTTGTACCAAGCCATGGTCCCTTTCCTCAATGTCTTCGGGAAAAGCCTGCACTTGATGGCTCCCCGGACGTTCCTATAGTCGAGCATGGCCTCGATGTCCTTTAGATGATTGTCCGGATTTGATGTACCTTCGTACGTGGAGAGTACATGCGGCTTCTCCATCCCGTGGGGGATGGGGGTTGCCATGATCTCCCGCGATAAGGGGGAGGGGGGGGGGTCCTATAGTCGTCTTCTGCGGACAAGGGAAGGCGGAGGCGACGGGTCGTGTCGAGGGGGCTGATTACGTCCCCTTGGTCTTCTGGTCAGGGCGTCAGGCCTTTCGCTCTTGGCTCCGAGGAGCGCCTCTCCTTCCGGGGAGGGGGGATGACCTGGCGCGTTTCTCGGAGGCCACAGGTTAAGGCCTCTCTAACTGTGGTCGGCGTCCCCGTGGACGGGGAGAGGGGCTCCGAGAGTTCCTGCGCTGATTTCTTCATTGGGGAGAGTGGGACGAGGTATCCTACTCCAGTGAGCCGATGCGCTCATTCTGCTGGAACATCATCAGGTTTGTTTGGTTGATGGCTGCGAAAAGGACAGTCATCGTCGGGTCCGCTCCGACTGGCGTAGGAACAGGATGGAAGACAGCCGGGCTCCTTGCCCGAGGGGCGGCGTAATGTGCAGCATCCTCGGACGAGGGAGATGCAGTCTGGCCGTCCCTGGTGTCGTCCTCACGGGCGTGGGAGGTCCCCACCTGGTCGTCACCGTTGGTGATTGGGACGAGGGCGGAGTTGTAGACAGCGTCATCATGACGTGGACTAGTCATGATCTTGGAATTTGAAATTGGGAGCTTTGGTTCTTCTGCTTGGAGGAACAGGGAAGCTCAGTTTCCTACAGACGACACCACTTATCTGAACTGATCAGAAGGGAATCAGCGACTTGCCACGTGTCATCACTCTGAGAGCTATCCACCGGATGTGAAGAGGAGGAGGGGGGGGGGGGGGTGTACCTGCAAGACACTCCGATGCCAAAGTAAGTAGTGGACCAGAGTGAGAGCAAATACAGAAAAGAGGTTGAGAAGTGAATACGTGACCCTCTAGTGAAAGACGGTATTTATAGAGAGACCCCAGCGCAGGGCCAACGGTCACTTGTGTTGGGCTGGATTGTAAGACCCAACCCAGGTGACTGTTAGGGCTTACGTGGCGTAGTGAAGACTAGTACATGGTCTTCGCCCTAGTTCAACCGTCCCGGGATCTCCGTAAGGCGGGCTGACCAGCTCTTTCGGAAGTGGGTAGTTGGCTGATGACGTGTCCTCGCGGAGGGTGCACGTAGAGAGCGTGTGGAAGATGTGCAGTTCTACCCGATGAAGGAAGAGTGCCTGCACGATTTGTCTAGGATCGTGCCCGACACTGAGATTTTAAACCTTCCCTGAATAGTATTGGGCTGGGCCTGCCCGACGGATGGGCAGGTCCGAGCCCAGCCCATAACAAGTATATTTATTTATATACTCATATGACACGTGTACGAGTGCTAACACTAATGTCCATATATATAACCGAGTACGAGAATTTTTTCAACGGAATATTATAGTACTCTTAAACCTTATCAATTGTAATCCCAAACCCAAATCCATATAATTGTATTGCTACACTTCAAGTGATAATCTTAAATTTAGTGTTTTTCAAAAAAAAAAAAAAATTTTAATTTAGTGAGAGCAATTTTTTAAATTTAAATTTAAGCCATTTTACAACTGCTTACCGTGTAACTGTTGCATATATGAATTATGGCGTCCAAAAGCAATTAACGATGTGAAATGTGTAGATTAAGCCATCTATTTAAACTACAATGCTTTTACTTTAAGTAAAATGCTAACTTGTAGTATATTGCAAATACAAAAAAGATATTTTGAAAATCGTGTCTTTGATTTTTCCTAAATTTTAAATTTGGATTTTAGTATGAAACTTTTATCTTTTGCATACTTTTGAGTTTTTTAAGCACACAAGTTAAGATGATAATTACTTTACTCAAAAAAAGAAAGAGAAAAATGTATCCTTTTCGTATATTAATCCAAAACATAACCAACTTTAAATTATGGTAATCTCGACCCAAATGGTATTCATATATTATAAAATTTGGATTTTGTATTATTAAATTGAAATACACTTTAGATTAAAAATATAAACTTATTATTTTTAAACAACTAAAACATGATTCTGTAAATCTTGTAATTATTAATTAATTCATAACTATTTTTCCGTTGAACTTTAAATTATTGTATGATTAAGACATAAAAGTTAGTAATTTTCTTATATATAATATACTCTACCTAACTTGAAAATCATTTTACTTTTCTTTTTGACTAGACAATATCATTTTTAGGCTAAATGAATTCATTTGAATTATTCCATAATCTTGATAGAATAACTTTTACATTTAAATATCACATGTTTTCATATTATACACAAAAAGAGAGATTCAGATAATTGTTTATAAAAAAAAAATCATTCTTTTATTTGTTTTTTGAATCAATTAAATACTATATTCTTCATCTTCCAATCAATGGAAGAAGAATTATACCATCACTCTCACACATCAGAGGCACCTTCTTCTTGTTCTAACCATGAAGATATTCAACACAAGCATAGCAACCAACAAGAACAAGTCAACATTTCAAACACAAAGTCATTTATGATTTTAATGTGGGGCAATGTTTGGTCTTGCATTGTTGTTCTTGTGCTATTTTGGCTCATTGGTTAGTACAATTATTTAAATAAATTTTCATGCATTTTTTTCTCTTTAATTAAACTGTAATATGTAATTTCAATTGTGCTATAGTCACATGAACTGTATTTTGTTTCCGTTTTTCTGTAGAATCTGTTACTCTTGTTTTTGTTGGTGTTCGAGGATCTAATTTACAATTAGGTCCTTACTCGTCACATTTGATCGAAATCAACTCAATGTTAGTACAATCTATCGAGGTATTTAATTATAATTTCAACACATACCTAATCATTCATGTTTTATTATTATTATTATTATTATTATTATTATTATTATTATTATTATTATTATTATTATTATTATTATTATTATTATTATTATTATTATTATTATTATTATTATTTAATGTTTTATGACACATTAACAGGTGCAACAAAACAATAAGCCAAAACCTGGTATGATGCTTTATGGATTTGATGTTGCTCCTCCACTAGATGTCAAAATAAATTGGATTGAGATGTATGATGTATCTATACCACCAAGATCTCAAAAGGCATGATCCAATTTTATTTAGTTTTTTTTTTTATGTTTTTCTAATGTTCTTAAACCTTCAACCTTGTAAATATGATGTTTTGCACAATTCATATGGTTTTGCAGGAATGGATATTCTACCTGAATAAAGACTCTCATTTAGATGTTTTTGTTAGTGTTAAGTCTGTAGCAACACCTCTAATCTTTGTAATTGCTAAAGGTACACTTTTATTTTTATATATTGCAATTTATGGTTCATTATTTTTACCTTGTATGCACTTCTCCATTATTTCTAATCTTTCACAGGTAGAGAAAGCATAGATGAGTGGAAAGATGATCCATTATCCTCTGATGCAACAATGTATTGGAATGATATACATGGTATAATTACTTGTAAAATAGTTCTTTTATGCTACATTTATTTTGATGTTATGTAGTTGTGTTAGAAAATTGAGCCTAACAGAATCAAACTACAGCAAAGCAAAGATCATTCGAATCGAACTGAACCGAACCATTTGAATTTATCCAGAACATAACCAAACCAAAATTCTTGTGGTATACAGGTTTGGAGTTCTGAACCGTACCAAACTGTTACAAAACAGTTTTTGTCAAATCAAACTATTCGTTACAGGACCGATCCATTACATTTTTTCTTCGAATTTTTTAATAAAAAATTTTAAGTTTCAATTTGGTTCGATTTCAGTTTTAGTTTGGTTTTTTTACAATTTGTTCGGTTCTAAAACTATTTGTGCAACATGGTTAGGCTAACTAACCAAACATAACATTTCAGCTATTTTATTTTCAGTTTAGTTCTGTTTGACGATTCGCTTCGATGGTTCGGTTAGGCTGTCGGCCGTTTTTAATATTATTTTAATTCATATTTGTTTATTTTATTTACAGGAAGCAGTAATGTTACACAGAAAATATCAGAATCATCTACTTATTATGTGGCTATTGGCAATATGAACCATCAAAATGTTAAGGTGATACATCAAAACAATCAAAACTCCATTCACATAAATATTCATACAATGTTTATCGCAAGACCATTTTTAGTTAACATTGACGACTAGTCATTTAGTGATATTTTGCAAATGGGTCATTAAGGCTTTGAAATGTTCCTACAATAATCAGGTACAATTGAGTTTCAATGTGAATGCACTTCTCTATGATACAACCAACTCTTATAAAAGATGTTCTCTGGATAACAATTCATGTACAATAAGGACAGCTCTTTCTGCAAACATAGCACTATTAACCACTCCAGGTCCTAGAGAGGTAATAAAACAACAAATTTACATTTTTGTATAACTCTTTCTAATCCTATATATAATGATTTATAAGGACATAAAAGTAATTTCAATAAATAGTCTATCTTTCAGGGTGTAACTAATCAAGAATGTTTTGATGTGAATGTGTCTTATGAACCAAGATGGATGATATATTTTATAGGAACAGGTATCACAATTTCTTTTGAGTGATATATATTTTAAGTTTAAATCTCTTAGCGTCGACGATGATGGTCGACTCTAGAATTGGCCATAGCTACTGGTTTGACATATTTGAAATGTACATTATGCAATGCAATAAACACAGGTGTGATGGCTGTCATAATCATATGTGTATTGGAATTTTACCAATTGATCCAAACAAACAATGAAGAAAATGCAAGGTTTCGATTCCAACAAGTGGAAGTGATTTCGGAAAGAGCTCCATTATTGTCTAGAAAAGAAAGTGATGTTACAAGTTTGAGTTCATCTTATGATTCTTTCTCAAGTGATGATGAGAATTTCAGTGAAGGAAAATCAATATTAGAAGGGGAAACCAGCAATAATGATCTTAGGTGTTTGTGTGTTATCTGTTTTGATGCAAGAAGGGATTGCTTTTTTCTCCCATGTGGCCATTTTGCAACTTGCTATGCTTGTGGAATAAGGTAAAACTTTATTTGAAGTTAGCTCAATATAGATATCAATTAATATAAACTTATAAAAATAAGTGATTGTTGATGATATTGGCAAATGTTTTTTACTTACAATTCATAGCTTTTTCTTGGTTTTTTTAATTAAAAAATGCATGAATGAGAGTATTGATTTTACATTTGTACATATGGATAAATTTAAATTTTTAGAGATGTTTTTTGTACATTAATATAGAGTTTAACTTTTATTATATTTATGTGTAGAATTGCTGCAGAAACTTGCACTTGTCCCATTTGCAGAAGGAAAATGAAGAAATTAAGAAAAATTTATATTGTGTAATTTAATTAGATGAGTATCATGTATGTAAATAGGCCTATATGAGTTTCTTTTTCTAGAGTCTATATTGCATATTTCTTATTTTAGAAATAGAAAAATATATCATATAGAAAAATCAATTGATGTTGGGCTTATATAATTTTTTTTTTATGTCCAACATCTTTTTGTATGGAGATGGTTTCAAATAAATATTTATATGAAGACATATTTTTATATGTTTTGTTAAACTAAAGGGATAGAAATTCTAGAGTACATTTTAGGTATTTATATTTTTTTTCTTTTTCATTATGTTCTTCTAATATTTAGACATGTGTTTTCTTAGATTCTATTTTAATCAACATAAATGAATTTTTAGAAAATTTTTTTTGATGTCTAGAAATTGATTTACTCGAATATAACAATTTTCATGTTTACAAAAATTGATTAATAATATGTTGAGTATCATTCTCACAAGAAAATTTTAAATAAATTCGTACACATTTGCCATCTTGTTTCAATGAAATTTATAGGTCAAACTAATCAAATTGAGTTTGTAATATATATTTGTAATATTTTTGGGTTTGGTGTAAATAATATTTAGACTTGTTTAACATTTTGGTACTATATTGAAGTTATATTATAGTATTTAATATATTGTATACATATATGTTATATTTTGGTGTGCGAAAGTAAGAGAGTAACTTCTAAAATATTAAGACAACTCGCGCGCGTATACATACACCTAAAATAATTTTAAGATTTCTTATTATTTAACAAAATCACATAAAAATATTTTTGGAGCCTAGCTAGTTAATTAAAATAGAAGTGTGTGTGATTGATTGGAGTACATTTTCCACCTAAATATTTGATTATACCATAAATCTAATCGATTAGATCATACTTGTTTAAGTCTAAAATTGATTAAGAGCAGTCGCTTAATGATTGATAACAACTATATATATATATATATATATATATATATATATATATATATATATATATATATATATATATATATATATATATATATATATATATATATATATATATATATATATATATATATATATATATATATATATATATATATATATATATATATATATATATATATATATATATCAAAACATTTTATTTGTGACCTTACTAATAGATTATTTAGAGTGCCTAACTAATTTGTCTAGTCGATTAATGATTAATTCGAACCCATAAATTATTTATGATTCATTATCTCTATGCGATATGTACTATTCTATTATTAGTTAACAATGACGACTAGTGATTTAGCGACGAAATCAGTCGATAATGCTTTGCAATGTTACTCGTTACTACATGCAGTAATTGGTACAATTGAAGTTCAATGTGAATGCACTTCTCGAGAATACAACTAGTTCTCATAAAAGATGTTCTCGTAATAACAGTTCATGTTGAATAAACATAGCTCTTTTAGCAAACATAGGACTATTAACTACTAAGTACTACGAAAGGTAATAAAACCATAAATTTACATTTTTATTTAACTCTTTCTAATCCTATATATAATGAATTATAAGCGCATTAAAGTAATTTCAATAACTAGTCTATCTTTCTTTTAGGGTTTAACAATTTGTTTTGAGTGATATATATTCTAATTTAAAAAAATGGCTTGTAGTGTGGACTAGGTCGACGCTAAATTGCATCTCTTAGCATCGATCATCTCTTAGCGTCGATGTGATGGTCGACTCTAAAAGTGACAGTTAAAATGCATTTTTAGTGGTCTTTATTAATATAAATAGAAGATTTGAAAATTTAGTCATGATGAACCTGATCGGTTATAATGTTAGGGGATTGAGTTGTTTAGCCAAGAAACATGAGCTCCACAATTTAATACAAAGGTATAAACTGAAAGTGTTGTGCATCCAAGAAACAAAGATGGAAAATATTGATAGGAGCTTATGCATAAGATGGTAATTTTGTTTTTAAACTGCTCAGGTGGCATACTTACAATATGGGACAACAAGGATCTTAATGCAAAGAAGAAAACTATAAAAGATCATTTCATATGGATGTGTGGAGAATAGGGGGAGACAAAGATTCAGGTTAATATCATGAATGTATACACTCCATGCGACATGAACATGAAAAATTTACTGTGGAGAGAACTTAAATACGAAATCCAAACAAGAAGAGAAGGCTATGGTGCGTGGTCGGAGATTTCAACGCGGTAAGGAAAGTTTTAGAAAGAAAAGGAAGAAGTGATAGGCCTAGAATGAGATAAATGGAGGATTTTGACGAGTTTATAATAGACTCAGATTTAATAGATCTACCTCTTATCGGTAGAAGGCTTACTTGGTCTAGGACGGGAGGAACCGCCATGAGCAGACTAGATAGAATTTTGGTGTCAGAAGCTTGGGCTAGAGAGTGGCCAGAGTGTAAGCAAAGTTGCATTGACAAAGGTCTGTCAGATCATTGTCCAATAATATTGAGGGATTGGAATCAAAACTGGGGGCAGAAACCTTTTTCGTATGTTATCATGTTGGAAGGAAATAAAGGGCTATCACAATTTTGTTAAAGAGCTGTGGAGAAACATTGCAGTTCGAGGTTGGGGCATGTTCGTCCTTAAAGAATAGTTCAAACAGCTAAAGGAGGGGCTTAAGGAGTGGCACAAAAATCACACACAAAACCTCGAAGAAAAAATCAAGGTAATCAAAGAAGATCTAAATAAGCTCGAACATAAAGAAGAAATTGAGGGACTGTCAAATAAAGAAATTAACGAAAAAAGGAGAAATTAGAGGAATTGTACAAGCAATCAAACCTAAATTGTAGTATCCAATGACAAAGATCAAGAATTAAATGGCTCAAGGAAGGGGATGCAATTCAAAAAAAATAATCATGGGTGTATTAATAAGAGGAGGCGAGAAAACGAGATTTTGGTCTTAGAAGATAAAGGCAGGAGGGTGACAGAAGTGGAAGAAATGAAGAAGGTCATATATGAGCATTTTAAACAACAATTTGCAGCGAGAAGATATAGAATAACAAAGGTAAATGTAAACTTTAAACGAATTTCTAAGTTGAAGATGAACGAAATGATTCAAGATTTCACAAAGGAAGAAATACGTATAGCGGCGTGGGATTATGACAGTTCAAAAAGTCCGGATCCGGACGAAGTGAATATGGGGTTTGTCAAAGATTTTTGGGAAGAAGTTAAAAGTGACTTTGTAAGAGTTTTAAAAGAGTTCCATGAACACGGATGTATAGTTTGAGGGGCTAAATCATCATTTATAGTGTGAATTCCAAAAAAGAAGAACATAATAAAATTGGATGAGTACAGACCAATTTCATTGGTAAGGTGCATTTATAAGGTGATTGCAAAGTTGTTAGCAAATAGACTTTAAAAATGATGGGCACGGTTATATCAGATTCACATTCAATATTCATTTCGAGAAGGCAAATTCTGGACGACATTTTGATCGCTAATGAAGTCGTGCATGAAGCAAAAAAGAAGAAAAAAGAATTGATCATTTTGTTCAAGGTGGACTTCGAAAAGACCTATGATTCGGTGGATTGAAACTTCATTGAGAAAATGATGGAAAGGACGGGCTTTCATGAAAAATGGAGAAGCTAGATTTTAGAATGTCTGAAGTCGTCAATGATCTCGGTGCTAGTGAATGGAAGCCCCACAAGAGAGTTCAGCGTTGGAAGAGGATTAAAGCAAGGAGACCCATTATCTCCTTTCTTGTTTTTGCTAGCAGCATAAGGCTTTAATACGCTTATGAATAGAGAAGTGGAGTTGTGCAATTATATTGGATACAAGTTTGAAAATGAAAAGGAAAGGTTTTCACATCTCCAATAGCGGATGACACAATTATTATTGGAGAGAAGATTTGGGGAAATATCAGAAGCATAAAAGCAAATATGTGCCTGTTTAAAATGATGTCGTGATAGAAAGTCAACTTCCAGAAAAGTCACATTATTGGTGTAAATATTTGTCATTGTTGGCTTAGAGATGCATCCAAAGTTTTAAGGTGTAAGATACGAGTGACCACGTTCACTTATCTAGGGATTCTGATTGGAGCCAATCTTAAATCCAAGAAAACTTGGAAACCGATTTTGGACATAATGAGAGCTAGATTATCCAATTGGAAGCACAAGAATTTACCCTTATGAGGTAGAGTGGTTGTATTAAAATCTATCTTGTCGGCGATACCTGTTTATTTCTTTTCTTTCTTCAAAGCTCCTACAGGTATCATTTCTAACATTGAATCTTTTTTTAAGTACTTTTTTCTAGGGAGGTTGTAAGAACTCGAGGAAAATTAATTAGATCAAAATGGGACACTATATGTTGTCCTATTGAAGAGGGTGGGTGGGTATCAAGAACTTAAGGGTTTTCAACAAATCTTTATTAGGAAAATGGGTGTAAAAAATCAGAAAGAAGAGTAATGGCCTCTGGTTTAGGGCCATGTCAGACAGATATGGAGGAAGTTAGGGTATTTCTAGGGTTCATAATGTTCATAGCTCGTTGTGGTGGAAAGATGTGTGTCTCACAAATATAGGTGACTTAGAAAACAAGGTGGAGTATTTAGTGAAGGAGAGTTATATGGCTTTAAGGGCGATTAGAGTGGTCAGTGGCTTGGCATAAGTCAATTCCTTCAAAATTATCGTGTCTTATTTAGAGATTTTTTCATAATAGACTACCAACTAGGAATAACTTAGTGAGAATAGGTGTTTTAGCGCAAGACAATAATCTTTTTGTCAGAAGGTGCGATGAGGTTGAGACAACATCTTACCTTTTCTTTGAGCGCCCTTATTTTGCAGGTACATGGCTACACGTGATCAGTTGGCTAGGAGTGCATATTATCTTTCCAAGAGACAGTCGGGATCATCTCAAGCAATTTGAAGTCATCGCGGGTATGGCAGGAATTTAACTAATAGCATCAAGGCAATTTGGTTTGCGCGTGTTTGGTGCATTTAGAAGGCAAGAAACAACATAATTGATCGCGACTTTACAAGTCTAACAGAATCTAACTGCAAGTATATAGTCTATC